GTGTGTGTGTGTGTGTGTGTGTGTGTGTGTGTGTGTGTGTGTGTATGTGCATGTGCCTGGAAGCCAGAGGAGGACATCAGATGTCCTGCTCTGTCACTGTCCACCTTATTCCCTTGAGAAGGGGTCTCACTGAGCTCAAAGCCAGGCCAACATCTGGCAGGTCTCAGCGATCTTCCTCCTACAGTATTGGGGCTGCAGGCACTGGTGACCACACCAGCTTTTGAAGTGGGTTCAGGGATCTGAACCCAGAACCTCGTGCTATGTAGCACACACTTCCCCATTGAGCCGTCTCCCCAGGCCCCTGCGATTGGCCTCTTTAAGTCAGTATTAAATAGTAAGAATCATTCACTTTTTTTGGAAGCCACCGATGCCCATGGCCTTGCAATGGCTAGTGGATGCCTGTTGTACTCTAGATGGACACTGGGTTGTTTTCACCTTTTGCTTGCCATACTAATAGTGCTTTTGTTTTGTTTTGTTGTTTTCTGAGACAGGGTTTCTCTGTGTAGCACTGGTTGTCCTGGAACTTGCTTTATAGACCAGGCTGGCCTCGAACTCACAGAGATCCACCTGCCTCTGCCTCTCAAGTGCTGGGATTAAAGGCGTGCGCCACCACCACCGCCCCAGCTTTTTTTTTTTTTTTAAGACAAGGTCTCTACATGCAGCCCTGACGGTCTTAGAATGTCTTTTTAAATTATTGTTAGTTTTACCTATTCTTCTCTCATACAGTACATTCAGGCCGAAGCTTCCCTACCTCCACTCCTTCCAGTCCCTCCCCTCCAGTGCCCCTGCTCCCAGGAAAGAGCACAAGGTGTAACAAGACTAGGCACAAACTCTCACGTCACAGGTGAGCAAGGCAACCAGTAGGAGAAAAGGGGTCCCAATGGCAGGCAAAAGAGTCAGAGACACCCCAACTCCTGCTGTCCCAAAACACAAAGCCAACAGCCATAACACATATGCAGAGGGCCTAGCACACCCACACAGGCTTTGTGATTACCTCTTCAGTCTCCATGAGCCCTGCTCAGTGGAGCTCAGTGGAGTGATTCCGGGCCATACTCTCCCCGTGTCCTCAACCCCTCTGGCTCCCACAATTCCTCCTCTCCCTCTTCTTTGGGGTTTCCCAACCTCCAAGGGGAGAGACCCAGTAGAGACCTCCAACCTGGACTCTTTTTCTGCCTAAAGTTTGACTGTGGGTCTCTGCATCTGCTCCCATCAGCTGCTGGAGGCAGCCTCTCTGATGATGACTGGACTAGGCACCTATCTATGAGTATAACAGAACATCTGTCCTAGAAGTTCTATGCAGACCAGGCTGGCCTCGAACTCACAGAGCTCCACCTGCCTCTGCCTCCAGAGTTCTGGGATTAAAGGCAAGTGCTAACCTGTGTACTTATTTCCAAATACAACTATAATGAAATGAGTGCTGGCTCTGACAGACTGGAATCCAATTTTCTTCCTTCCTTTCTTCCCCGACCCCCTTTCTTTTCTAGATAGACTTTCATGTAGGTCAGGCTGACCTGAAATTCACCATTAACCGAGGATAATTTGATCTCCTGGTCCTCCTGCCCCTACCTCCCAAGTTCTGGAATTACAGGCATGTGCCACTGCACCCAGTTGTAAGCTGGAGCTGGAACCCAGGGTCCCAGGCATGCTGGGCAAGCACCCTACCGACTGAGCCACACCCCTAGCCTGATTTTCCATCTGATTTTTTTTAAGCACCTGCACCTGTTGTCAGTCAGCGGCAGTGTGTGAGGCTGCCATCTGTCCTGCCTGCTTGCTGGTACTTAACGATGCATGCTGGTTACTGAAGCGGGTTTTCAAGCTGCAGTAGTAGCTTCGGTGGGGTGCAGTGCTATGGTTTCTTTGCATTTCTCTCATGAGTAACACTGGCCTCGCTTATTCTTGGAAATAAACTCCTGCTTTCTAGAGTTCTTTGAACCATAAACCCTGCTGTGAGACGGGCTTTGTCACAGTTAACATTGATTTTTAACCTGATAGATCTAGAATTGCCCAGGAGATAAGCCTCTGGGCACACCCGAAAGGAATTTTCTAGATTTGGTTAATTTTGATTTGGGAAGACACATCCTGAATATTGCTAGCCTGAGAGGGGGGTGGGGGAAGGATGGGAGAGAGAAAGAAAGATATTTCTGGAAACTTCAGAGAGCAACACCAAGGTCACTGTGGCTGGAAGTGGGTATGTGGGTGTTAATTACATCTCTTTTTTTTTTTTTTTTTTTTGACACATCTGAAACCACGTCATCGTACTCACTTGAAATGATAAATATAACTAACATTGAGGGCTGGGCTGTAGCTCAGCGGTGGAGCACTTGCCTAGCATGTATAGAGCCTGGGTTCCGACCGCAGCAGATAGATATGGACACTGAGCTTTTGGCTAACACAGTCAGGAGGGGCAGAGTGTCTCTGCTCTCATTTCGTCTGGGTTCCTTGGGGGAGCAGTCCTTCTTTCTTCTCGGGTCACTGGGGACCCCAGGAACCTCCAGGCAGCACCAGCTGTCGTTTGTGTGAGTGTACACAGAAACCTGAGGTAGAGCTTGCTGTCAGGTCAGACTCAGCCCTGTGGGGGCCTTCGAGTGTAGGAAAGTTCTGTGTCCTTGCCTGGGCTTTCCCTGCTGGCCTGCCCCATCATCTCACTGATAGCTACAGAGTCTGAGTGAGTGTGGCCCTGGGCCTGGGACATCTGAGAGCCATCTGTCTTTGTATCTCCCTGCTGTCCCCCCCTGGTCAGTGGGGGTGTGGTACTGGGTATCACTCCTTCAAATCCGGCCTGCTTTTGCCCAACTCCTGCTGTACAGATAAGAAAACTGCAACCCAGAGAGGCACAGCTGTCGGCCCAAACTCACACAGCAACCAGGAGCCAACAGGAGATTCGAGCCTTGCCACGTCTCCATTTTCTCCCTTCTCAGCCACAGGCTATCTTTAAAAAGTCCAGTGTACCAGAAAGATCAACATGTCACCCCATAATCCATATCAAATCATGACTCAAAATTAAGGGACTTTCTACAAATTACAAATTTTGGGTTTTTTTGTTTGTTTGTTTGTTTGTTTGTTGTTTGTTTGTATGTTTTTTGAGACAGGGTCTCTCTATGTAGCCTGGCTGTCCTGGAACTCACTCTGTACACCAGGCTGGCCTCGAACTAACAGAGATCCACTTGCCTCTGCCTCCCTTTGAGTGTGCCACCACCACCCGGCTCAATTTACGCATTGTCTATTTATTTATTTAGGTTTTTCTGAGACAGGGTTTCTCTGTGTCGCTATTTACACATTATTAAATGTCAGTACAGATACTGAAGAGACAGCTCAGCTCAAGAGTGCTTACTGCTTACTATTCAGCCGGGCAGTGGTGGCTCACACCTTTAGTCTCAGCACTCAGAGGGACGCAGAGGCAGGCAGATCTCTGCGTTCGAGGCCAGCCTGGTCTACAGAGCGAGTTCCAGGACAGCCAGGGCTACACAGAGAAACCCTGTCTCAGAAAAACCAAAAAAGAAAAAAAAAGTGCTTTCTACTCTATGATGAGGACCAGAATTCAAATCCTGGACCCACATCAGTTGGCTCACATAAATAATAATAAAAATGTCAACTCAGAGCTAGACATGCTAACGCATACCTGTAATCCAGCTCTCTGAAGGCAGACACTGCAAGATTAAGGGCTCAAGGTCTCCCTCAACCATATACCAAGTTTAAGGCCATTGTGGGCTACTGAGACCCTGTCTCAAAAGGTTAAAAAAAAAAAAAAAAGTCTGTGAATATAGTTCCAGCACTCAGGAGACAGAGGCAACAGGATCATAAATTCAAGTCCAGCCTGGGTACCTGGTGGAGATAAGGTGAAATTTTATCTCAAAATAAAAGGACATGGGATCAGGGGAAGAGGATATAGTCCAGCGGTAGAGTGCCTTTCTAGAATGAGTGAGGCCCTAGGTTTAAACCCCAGCAACATTAAACAAATAAACCTCAGTGTTTGAATTATAGGCTGCCGAGGAATGTGAGGGCAGAGATCACCCTAATGGGCAATATTTGAATAGCCAATAAAATTAGAACACAGGTTGTTTGTTTTGCTTTGCTGTGTTGATGCAGGGTCATGCTGTGTAGCCAAAGCTGTCT